AAACACTTCCAGTGTTGGACCATTCACAACTTCTGGAGGCAAGCTGTTCCACAGATTAATTGTTCTAGCTGTCAAGAAATTTCTCCTCAGTTCTAAGTTGCTTCTCTCCTTGATTAGTTTTCACCCAATGTTTCTTGTACTACCCTCAGGTGCTTTGAAGAATAGCTTGACTCCCTCTTCTTTGTGGCAACCCCTGAGATATTGGAACACTGCTATCATGTCTCCTCTTGTCCTTCTTTTCATTAAACTAGCCATGCCCAGTTCCTGCAACCTTCATAAGAAGGTTATTGGGCCTTCTTCCTGCAGATAATCCTAAGCGTATCTTGAGGGGGGGGGGGGGGGGGGAAGGTCCAGAATTCAAAAGTTACCTCAAAAGCTATTGGGAGCAAGACATGAAGAAATGCAGCCAAATAATCTGAATTTCCCATTCCAATCTGCAAAGCCAAGGATAATATAAAATAACAGTTCTTTTAAAACAGAAAACAAAAACATCCCAAACTGCCATGATATAGGCCTATTAGTCGACAAATATCTGCGTGGAAATTGTCTCTGGAGAGCATTGTGCTTCTCCAACAAATTCTAAATTGTATTCAGCAAAGTTTTCTAAATCCCCAGGAAGGGAAATTAAATGGCTATTTTAACATTTATATAACATTCCATGTGACAATATAATATCTGTATTTTTCTTTTGTTTTTGCCCAAATGGTTCCCTTATTAATATTACCACACTAATAAAACTGTCATTTTTCTTAAAAGTCCGCACTACAAATAATTTTTTTATAAACAGTAAAGTGGGAAAATGAGTGTTTTTGTTAAATTACACTATTTCAGAGGAAACACTGCTTCCCTGTGCATAATTCATCAACTGCATATGAGAACACAAATCTAGTCTAATTACAAAATGAGTTCTGAGCTGACTGCAAATATGTATATTAGGTGTGTAAATGGAATTAAAAACAAAACTGCATCAAATGCATGACTGCTCAAGTTTAACATCTATTTATATTATAGTGCTATTAAACAATATTTACCTGATTCCAAGGGAGATTTATGGTGAATCCTTTTCCCTTCCCCTGACCAACCGCATCATAATTAGACTCACTGAGACAAGGCCAAAAGTTCTGGTGTTCGAACCGATGCCAGGAAAAATATAGAACACTAACAAGAACAAAGTAGCATTCAATGAAGTCGCTGATATACCAAACAAGCAAACTACTCTCAGCAGTGCTTATTCCAGGATAGAACAGCTGAACTAAGTCTGAAATCTATGGATTTTCACTATTTAGCTTTCTGCAAATTGATGTAAATATAGGGTGTTCTCAAAGATTTTGCATAGTTATAAAATCAGAGTAGTTTTTAAGATGTCGCTGAACTAAAGTTTCCTGCAAAAATGTGAGTGTTGGTATGAGTGCCATCCATTTTGAAGATGTATCTCACAATAACACATATACTTTTAATCAGTTGTTTTCATCTTTATCTATCTTTGAACAGGACCTCATCTATCATGTTAGTTCAATACTGAAGGGACTTTTAGGACAACGTTAAAAACACAGACTGTAAGATACAAGGTAAAGGTTCCCCTTGCACATATGTGCTAGTCGTTCCCGACTCTAGGGGACGGTGCTCATCTCCGTTTCAAAGCCAAAGAGCCAGCGCTGTCCGAAGACATCTCCTTGGTCATGTGGCCAGCATAACTAAATGCCGAAGTCACATGGAACGCTGTTACCTTCCCACCAAAGGTGGTCCCTATTTTTCTACTTGCATTTTTACATTTTTTTGAACAGCTAGGTTGGCAGAAGCTGAGATAAGTGACAGGAGCTCACTCTGTTACACGGCGCTAGGGATTCAAACCACCGAACTGCCAACCTTTCTGATTGACAAGCTTAGCATCTTAGCCACTGCAACCCATAAGTTATAGGTTATAGCAAAATTAATACAATCTGCCTAAAAACCAAAATGATACATAACTGTATCATCACTGTGAAGCGAAAGCTATCAAAATATCTTGAGGCCTGCTGTTTGATAATGAAGTTCATTGGTAATTCATTTCCAAAATAAAAACTTTTTGAAACTCATGCAGTACTCAGGTTTGCTGCAACATCTCCAAGAACAAGTAATTGACGAACCTTGGGTCATCATCAAATGCATATTGAATTCCTTGTCCATGATGTACATCCCAGTCAACAATGAGGACCCTGCATGAACCAACAACAACATTCATTCAAAGGTAAGACCTTCAAAACTTTGTGGTTTTAAATAGATTATACTCCACCTTTGCAAGCCGTATTTTCTTTGAGCATATTTTGCTGCAATCGCAACATTATTGAAGATACAAAATCCATTGGCTGCACTTCTTTGACTATGATGACCTGGTGGCCTGCAACCAAGCATGATTGAGTCAGTTAATCATAAACTGTATCAAATAACATTCACCTAGAGAACATTTCAATTTGGTTACCTTATTAGAGTCAAGCCATTACGGGTCTTTCCCGACATCACAGCATCTACCAGTTGCAGTGTTGCTCCCACAGCCAGTTTGGCACAACGATATGTTGTCTGAGGAATAGAACAAGTTAATGATTCAAAGACTCTACTGTAGTTTCTGAGAATCAATGAGTGAAGGCTGAAGAGATGGGAACAGGTTGGCACTTTACAACACTGAATTTCCCTTCAGGCAGGCATTGGGTATTAGAACTATAATTCAAAGAATCACTCAGTAGTCACCTCCTCCCAATGTATACTCCCAGGAGTAGGAGAACTAAAAAAGAAGGAATTTGGGGAGATGGGTAGAAAGATAGGTCTGGAGGAAGCTTGGAGTCTTGGCCATAAGAAAAGCTCCACCTGTTCAAAGGGACAAGTTTATATTTAGTTCCAGGGAAGGTAAGAGCTGTGAACCCGTGGAAACATTTTAAAGTTAAGGGTGGCCATTGGAAACCCATTTTAAGTTATTTATCAACGGCTAAATTTGGTTCCTTCTGCAAACATTAACAAAATGACTGTGATGTTCAGCATCTTATTCCAGTTACATAATTTTTGGTAGAGATTTTAAAAAATACAGGGAAAAATTTCTCTAAATCAGGAAAGGTTTTAGTGGTGGTAGCAAAAACAATAGATCCTGTTCAGGCCTTCCACAGGGAAGCCAAAAAGTCAAATAGCTGCAACTCTCCATCTCCTGCAAAATGTCCCTGAATCCTTTAGAAATATTCATGAGTTAAGAACAATATGTTTTAATTTTGAAGAACAGCTGCCTTACAACTCTTTGGGTGGACAGCAGGATTTGGAGAAAATGACTTATGACTAAGGAATATTATATCTAGGAAGGCTCCATACTGGATGAAAGTAAACGGCATCATATTCAGCAGAGACTTTTTGGAGCTCTTCTTTTCCCATTTTCTCAGTGCTCTTCACAATTTCCACATAATCCTTACTGGAAAAGAAAAAGAGATATGGTGTTACCCATAGACATAATATAGGGTGTGAGCCAGTTTCAAATGCTGCTGCCTCTATAACTCTGCTAATCAGGAATCTGATTATAGGCTTATAATCTGAATTCAGTGTTCTGATGGTCAGCCCCCTCCGCAGTCATGTGACCAAATGTTGGGTGCCTGGCAACATGGCTGCATTTATAGCTGCTTGTAGCATATCATGGTCATGTGAGCAATTTTTCAATGGTTTTGCCAAAACCAGCACTTCTGCTCTTCAGCAAAACCACTCATACAGCGAACCATTGGTTTGCTTAAAGACCGCAACAAAAAAGGCTGTAAAGTGGGCAGTCTGCATTATGGTAGTATTTGAAAGACTATCTTTATATACATGCCATGAGCTAAAAAATGGTACCATTTAGCATAGACGATTTTGTCACCAGGTTTTGGTGTTGAACTTTTTGGGTATTTCTCAGTGCAAATAACAATTTCTCTCTTAGGGGATTTAGGACTTAACTTGGACTTTATGAAAACAAATTATATCTGTTATAAAAAAGGGGGGGGGAGGTTTAGAAACTTTATTAATTGACTTTTACTTAAAAGATATCATAAAGGTGTAATGTTATTG